CCTTCTTCACCTTTTAACTTTTCTGAGCTTCAGAAACAGCAGCATCTGCATCTGCGGAGCGTTCAGGGACCTGGTGGTTATTTATACTCATCTGAAGCTTCTGCATGTGGACTTTTTTTTTTTTTTTTTTTTTTCTCCCTTCTTGACATCTGTAACTGAACTGTATTTCTCACAGTATGCTTCAGGCTCCGTCTGTCCAGTGTTATAAAGTGATCCAGATTCTCTTGGCACCGTCAGTGAGGGAGATGTGAAGGACCTTCGAGGGACAAGTGTTATTGATGTAAAGGAGAGCGCCGGGCCCACAGAGCAACCATGTCTCACGATACTGTTATCCGACTCTCAGCAGAAATAATTCAGCCATGTATAAACTGACGGATCATTTACATTCAAACCCTTTTTAATAAAAATGTTGGTTAGTACGGCTACTTGCAGTTACACCAACCTACCAGCTACTTATGTGTATGTATATATATTTACATATATAGATATATATGTATATACAGTGGGGGAAATAAGTATTTGACCCCTTGCTGATTTTGCAGGTTTGCCCACTTACAAAGAATGCAACGATCTATAACTTTAATCATATGTACATTCTAACAGTGAAAGACAGAATCCCAAAGAAAATTCCAGAAAATCACATCATAGGAATTTATAAAAATTGATAACCATCTGATGAGGAAAAATAAGCATTCTTTGTATATATATATATGTATGTATGTATGTATGTATGTATGTACAGGTTCAATGTATGTAGTATTATCAGTAAAAATGAAAGAAATTACATTGGAAACCACATTTCCTACAATATTTAACTTACTTTGACCAGTGTGATCCACAAATTAAACCAAGGATCAATCTACTTGGGTTCCCCCCAAGTTTAGCAATTTCCTAAAGCTAATAAAGCTGTTTAATGAAGTTTAAAATGAGTCCCACCCTCTTGCCTCTTTGTTGTTTCCCACTGTAAAACATAGCTCTGCATCACTGTAATTTACTTCTTTTTCTAAATTAACGTATCATCTTTTACGTTATATAGGCATACTTACCAGACATTATGTCCACTTCTAATAATTTAAATTACTTAAAAGAGGCTGTGTTGGCATTATGTACTAATCTTGGCCAATGGCCCAGTTGTTGTTTTTTTTATTTCGAAATGATAATTTACATGCAGGATTAAACCGCTTAGAAATAGTTTTAGAAGGCCCAGTTTAAATATGCCGCCCTTTGGCAAATTTATGCAATTTGAATATTTAAATGTTTATACTGATTATGCTATTTAACCCTATAATTCCAAATGGATCATATTTGATTCATACGGTTTCTGAAATGTTTTGCGTCTGACTCCTTTTGCATAATTTAATGGTAAAAACTTTGCTCAAAATCCTATTGTACACAATCAGATACACCTGATAACAGGGGGCAGAAGACTACACAAAAAATAATCTTGACTTATCGCATAGTAATAAATTATTAATATAAAAAATGTATTTCTTTTTTTTCTTTGTACATATTTTGTTAAAAGACCACATAAAGACTTCAAACCAAAAAAAAGCTCTTTTCTGTTTTGTTTTATTCTTGGATCAGGCTTTAAAGGGTTAAATATGAATCAGCCTCCGTTTGTCTCTCAATGAACCTGAGATTTACGCGATGATCTTGAACGCAGCACCCAAGACATCCGGTCCTCGGTTGCCTAGCAACCACTAACAGCGGCGTCCTCAGGCCGGGAGTTCTCCTCCCTGTTTTTGGTCCCAGGGACTTTAGTCCCCGTTGTTTTTGGGTTGTTTTTGGGTTATTTGACAGCAGGATGGACCCTTTAATGGAGACCAAACGGCCGGCCACCCTTTCGGCCTTCAGCTACGTCCCACCAAGGAGAACCGAGCCCAAAGAGCTGTCCTATTTCAACAGAGAGTCACAGGTAAAAAATAAAAATAAAAATAACGGTTTACGGCCTTCAGTTGAGTCAAAACACCAATTTTCGTTCGAATAAATTAAGCTAATGTCACTGTAAATCTAGCTTTGCTTTAAATTAGGCCAACGAGTACATTGAAAATGTTCAATTTCGTCACAAGGTTGTGGTAGCAATATAAAAGAAAAATATTTAAGATATGGTGGGAATTTAGTTGTTTTTTTCTTCATATGTTGTTGAGGGTCCAAAGAAAGACTTCAGACTAAAAAAATCCAATATTCTTCCTATTTTTCTTGGATCAGGCTTTAAAGGGTTAAGATATGGTGGGAATTTAGTTGTACAAGGTAGTCAACTTATTATTAATAGCCTATCAAACCTTCCATTCTCCAGCAAGAATTTTATAGGTAGAACTACTAAATGTTCCCTTTCAATTAATATTCAAGTTAACCCAAACTGTTTTATTTTTTTTATCTCCAACCCTATAATGCCAAATGTGTGATATCTGATCCGGTTTCTTTTGGATGTGAGTCTTTCTGCATCATTCAGTGGTAAAAGCTTTGCTCAAACCCCTGTTGTACACATTCAGATATACCTGATAACAGCCAGTAGAAGACTAGACCAACATAGATTTCTGACTTATTGCACGCTAATTTGATCAAAATAATTTCAGTTTTTTTTCTTCATATGTTGTTGAGGGGCCAAAGAAAGACTTCAGACAAAAAAAAATCCAATATTCTTCCTATTTTTCTTGGATCGGGCTTTAAAGGGTTAAGATATGGTGAGACTTTAGTTGTACAAGGTCAACTTATTATTGATAGCATATCAAACCTTCATTTCTCTAGTAAGAATTTTATAGGTAGAACTACTAAATGTTCTCTTTTAACTAATATCAAAAGTTAACCCAAACTGTATTTTTTTTTATCTCTAAGAAGACATTGAGCTTGATTATCCACCACTTATTTTGACCTACGTATATACATAAAGTTTTTTATGTATATATCTATCTATATTATATGAGGAATTTTGTGTATATATATGTATATATATATGTACAGACATGTATATATGTATATGCCGCTGTTTTATTTATGGAGCCATTAACAAAATCAATTCCTTTTGGGATTATTAAAGT